AAACTGTCTGGATACCCAGCTGGCCTAAAAGACATTACACTGGCACCACCACATCAGCAGATCCAGGACCACTGGAGTCGGTTTAGGTTTGGGTTTCCCCTGGAGGGATCTATCCCCAGACCCAGTGCTCACCGCAGCCCTGTTCCCGCAGGGAGCACCACCAGCGGTGCCTTCCCAGCCCGGAGAGCAGGCTTCCTGAGGAGATGAACGAGCCAGTACTGGCGAGGTCCTGCTCTGCAGCAGCCCTGGTGTTGACGTGAGCGTGTCCAGGGGCTGCGGCTCATGGGTCCCCTCTTGTATCTGCACTCCTAGAGCCTACTCTGCTGGTTAATTAGTGAGGGTGTCCCTCCAAACAGCGACTTGCATTATTACAATTCAGATTTTGAATGAAATCTAGGGAAAGTACATATTAAGCGCAATAAATTGTACTACTTCCAAAAGCCACATCCTGCTGCATAGGTAGCTGCTGCCATCAAATTCATCAAAACGACTCGCATTTTGCAGCTCACAATTAATTGCTTTTGAAAGAGCCACAGTCTGAGGATTACTGGCTGAAATGTTTTGAGAAAATAAAGCTGAGCAGTAAGGGAGGCCACGGGACAGCAGCACGGGGCTCTGCGTGGAACGGGGCCAGCTCTCCCCGCACACGGGAAAGGGCCTTGCAGATGCTCCTATCTGCCAGCCTGTAATTAATAAATTATTGAGACAATCCTGAAACAAACAGATGAAAAGGGGGATGAAAGATGCTAGTGGAAGACAGACAGCCCCACTGCTTGGGGAGGATCTAAGCTATCATGTCCAAAAAACGTTTTAATCTCCTGCCGTCAGAAAGCGCCGATCGCTCGCAGCGCTGGCGAGGGGGGACGCGGGGTGGGGACTCCCGGCTCCATCTCCTCTCCCCTCGCAGAGCAGAGACAGGCACCGTGCATCTCGCTGTTCGGGCAGAGCCAGCGGTGGTTATCCCCAGCTCCTTCCCGCGGCTCCTCGGAGGGGCCAAGGCAACAGGGAGGACCCCAGGCCCCCCGAGCCGCTGCCACCCAGGTTCGGGGGCAGGACGGGCTGGGGACACGCTGGGATGGAGCGGGGCACACATGCACCCGGGGAGCCCCAGCCACCTGCCGAGCTGTCAAAAATCCTCACGGCGGCAGTGACTTTAAGCAAAACGCATGAATAAAGAAACCGAGCAGCAAAATCAGAGTATGTACGAATCTCTTTAGCACAGCACCATCAAGAGGTCCCTTAGTAATTCTGATTATTTTTATTGTTTAAGAAAAGTCCGGTCTTTTTTTTTGACAGAAAGAGAGGAATGGGAAAAGTGGGATCACAAAATCAAAGCAGTTAGAGATGGAAAGACCCGATGGCTCAGCGAGGCTCCCGGCGTCCTCCCCACAGTGGGAGGGGTGGTGATGTTCCCCAGCACACGAAACGCGGCCTTGCAGGGGGGAAAGATCTGCTTCCCTGTTGTGCTGGGTTGGTTGGGTTTTTTTTGAAACATGTAATTCAGCTGCAGGAGGCTTTTCAACAGAATATTTTATATCTCATTACGTCTCAAACGTAACATCAGTGCCATATCTGAGCTCCGAGCTTCTGCAGTCGGTTACTGCAGGCTTTACTCATAGAGTTTTCTCAGTCCTCACCTGACAAGTCAGGGCTAGCAAGTGTTTCACAGGAATAACTGTTCTCTCGTGTCTTGAGTGTTTCAGTTACACAGGCCATAAAACAAACAGGACTGGGCGCCTGAACTGAAAATGCGTTTCCTTCACTGACCGATTTCTCATGTACGTTACTTGGACGTAATGAGTCCTCAGCTCGTTACCTGCCCACAGGCTCCCCGGGCAGTCCTGAGGGCCACGTCTCAGGGGACCCTGCCAACACTGCCTCCCAGCAAGGGCTGCGGATCTGGCCCCACCGCAGCCACCTCCCTGGCGGTCTTTGCCACCGCAGCGGGGCTCCCCATCTCCCCAGGGCAGCAGGAACCCACTCGTGTCTCCACGAGTCCCGCAGTAAACACAGCGCAGCATGAACTCTCTCGTTTCCAAGTCCGTGGGGCACCACAGGGCACTCCGCTGCAGTGCGGCAGCTGGCACTAGCCGTGTGCTTCGTGCCTCTCCTGCTCCAGCCCGACCACGGGCACAGCAGCCCTTCGCCCTCCCGTGCCATGTTCCCCCCCATCTGCCCACACTTCAGTTTGCCACAACTTGCGTCTCAGCCCCCTTGGTCCCCCCACGCAGGGGTCTCGCCGCCCCAGCCCAGCCCCTGCAGCACACCGCAGAGCTGTGGGTTTCCCGGGAGGCTCTGGGGCCAGGACCCTGCTGCCTGCCCCAGCCAGGGAGCCCCAGCAGCAGCTCCACACACACTGGGCGCGCTGGTAGGTTTTTTACTACAAATGCAGCCACGTGCTGTTATGGCAAATCAAATTCCAGCAGGAGAAATAAGCTACCCCTGTCAAAACAAGGCTTTACTGGTATAATTGCATCTTCAAGGACCTTCTGCCAGTGCAGCCGTGCCTACATTAGGACTTTTGCCGGCAGTTGTGCCAAGTAGGGACGCGGGGTCGCCAGGCGGAGCAGGGTGCCGCTGCAGCGCCTTGTTATCGAGCTGCTGCCGACGGCGGCAGAGGGACCCAGCGACAGCCCCTCACCCTCTGCTGCCCGCTGCGTGCCCCTGTCCCGGCTGGGGCCGGCCCCAAAGACCCCAGCACTGGAGCAGACGCGTCCACGTAGCGGGGAGAGGGCACGCAGCCGCCCCCCGTGCCCCTCCGGCCCCTCGCTGCGGGGGGCCCCGGTGCCC